CTCCATCTAAAAAGGGGGTGTCTGGACCTAAATGCTTATAACTCAGAAACTATTCAACCTAGGAGCTTCAGATTGTTTTATTGTGTAGCTCTGATGAAGGGTTTTCCATCGGGCCCACCATTGATGCCCCTCCCACCCACTATGGACACCCACCCAACCCAATATATCTGTTCTGGAGAGTTCTGGTGCATTATATGTAACCACTATGCAGTGTCTAGTTTTACCAAATAATGAAATAATGAAATCATTACCAAATAATGAAAGAATCTAGTTTCTCTGATGGCGTGAGTGTGAGGACAGTACATTTCTGTTTTCTCCTCGCTGCGTTTGAGGCTAAGTGCAGGTGGCAACACCCTAAAGCGCTCTCTCGTCATTATTTACCATCCAGAGGTGCTTATTCAGGTCACACACCAAGAAAAAAAGAAGAAGACAAAAAGTCTGTTTTCACTGAGCTGCAGGAATAAATCTGTGAAGACCTTTAGGTTCGTATTTGTGCTGAAGAAACGTGCACGTCTCTGTTTGTTTTAGAGGTGCTCAGAGTTTTAACAGCACAAAACGAGATAYGGAGGCTGCTGCTGGGTTAATGTTTGTGTCGTACGGTCAGACGGTGCTGGATGAACTTTTGAACTCATTAGAGAGCAGCTTCCAGACAACGTTATGAACGCATTCTTGTGGAGAGAGAGGGAGAGGCACAGAAGGGTCTATATTAAAAGACAGCTCTAGTTTACAAAGCTGAAAAACAAGTTAATCAAAACAAATCATTAGGATTAATTCTAACTGCGCACAAACTAAACGTTAAATCTTTAATTAGATGCTCAGAATGKGCCATCCTGGTGGTGGGGTTTAAAAAAAACACCAGAGAAATTGGATTTCCTGAGAAAAAAGCAGTATGACTTAACGCTGAAAGCTAAAAAAGCTGCTGAAGAAGCTGAAAAGGTTTTAATAGTAAAACTATTAACGCAGTTAAATTTGTACAGTCAAACTTTTCTAAAAGTAATACAACTAATGTGAAGAGTCAGTGTAAAGATGGCAAAAAAAGGGTGAAAAAATCTGAAAACAGCAAGAAAAAGAGCTAYATTTGGTGAAAAAAGGCTCAAAGTTAAAACTAACAGATACGGAAGAGGATTAGGGCCACTGAAAAAATACAAAAAAAAGGAATTCTAACTTTAATCTCAGAAGAATTCTGACTTTATTCTCAGATTAATCTCAGAATTCTGAAAAAAAAAAGAGTCAGAATTCCTTTTTTTGTTTTTTCACTGGCTGTGTCCAAAACAACAGGACGGGTCCTCCGAAGGCCGAATTCATCGGCCGCATACGTCACAGCGCCGCAACGAAGGACGTCCAAAACTGAAGACTCCTCCGATGCGCCTGACAAATACGTCCTTCTTTTTCCTCAATTTGAAGGACAGGTCTGATGGATCCTTCCCGGCCCAGCGTATCCCATAATGCATTGCAGCCC